TATCACATTTTCCGATAAGTATTATTACCCTTTCCGTAACTAACTAAAAACTTCCGTGAACTAATAGTTATTTTTTAGACAAGACGATAAAATGCAATTTTATTGTCGTGTATAAAACAATATTTTTTTCCATAGCGAGTTACGTTTTAAAAAATATTCAGAAATTATTATTTCAAGGAATTTATTACGAGTAGAAAAAATATTGTGCTGGGTTGGCGTTGGTTTCTATGTAATTTGACAAATAAATAAAGCTGTCTCTTTAGTTGTCAGTTTTGAGTCAATATTTTTTAATTCTCTTTCGTGTCGATTGCTGATTGAATTGGAGCCAGAAATGGCTGAAAATGAAATAAGTAAATTACAAACAGATATTCAGGCCGAGGCGACAAACCCCATATCCAAACTACTTCCATTTAAATCCCGAATATCTAATGAAAAGGAATACAAAAATTTTCAAAAATGGAAGCAATTAAAAAACGTGCGAGAAAAAATAAAGTTTTTAACCTATCCTCGCTGTTGAAGTATCATTTAATCTTCCCTTGCGGTTAAAGTACTATTTTATCTACTATTTTTGATAGATATATAAGGCAATTTTAACAGTTAGTTTCTATGGAAAAAATATATTTGTACTTCTTTAACATTTTTTTTCCATGGCAACTGTTAAAATTGCCATATAACTATCAAAAATAGTAGATAAAATAGTACTTTAACCGCAAGGGTAGATTAAATGATACTTTAACAGCGTGAATAGGTTAACAAACATGTGTCTAGCCCCAGCAAGGCAACTATTAAGCTTGACCAATCACGTTAGAGTTTTTGACAAAAGCGGATGCAGAACAGCTGCGGCGTACTATATAATTTATTACAAACAAATAAAGAAAATCAATGAATATCTAAAAAACAAATATAAATTAGTAAAAACCAACCAACCCCACCAAATAACCAATGAATTAACACCCTCCAAATAACCACGCTAACCAAAGCTTAATAGTTGCCTTGCTGGGACTAGACGCAATTGTTAAAAAGACACCTTAAAAATCTAATCTAATTTAATCTATATTTATTCTAATTAATAATTTTCGATTAATAAAGTTTGATATTAGTATTCCTTTGTTTTTTTTTTTGCTTTTTGTTTCTAAAAATAGTTTGACAATTCAAATTAATTCACGAAATTTTTTATTCAAATTCTTCCAAAAAATATATTACAATAAAGTCCCCCCCCATTAATCAATTTAGAATAAACTTTCTAGAAATCAATTTATCAGCAAGTGTTATTTTTTTCTGTACACCTACATACGATTCTAATTGACCTAGTTACCGAATTTGTAATACTAGAGACATGTAAAAACTGTTATTTAATTTTAAACTGGCATTAATTAAAATTGAACTTCAAAATGTTTATTATTAATATTGAATATTGTAGTTATTATTGTATATTATTATTTGTTATTATAAGGATTATTGTTTTAATACAATAGTTGAAATAAACTAGTAGGTACGGGTTTACAAAAAAAATAAACTTGAACTTGAAAACCAAATTGCTGTTCATAAAAAATATTAACGACTCTTTAAAATTTATTTAATTATTTTTTTTTTTTCGTTATTTTGTATTGCTGTGTTTTTATTAAACTTAATTTGCCAATCAAGGTTCATTTGAATTTTGTAGAAGACTGAAACGATTGTAGACCTTTTTACAGCAATAACAGTATCGATATCGATACCAATGTCGATACTAATTTATTAAAAGTAAAGACAACATAGAAATCCAAAATCATTATTTTTGTCAGTTAGTTCTTTTTATCTTATGTTTTCAAGATATACTATTTTGTCAGAAATTCTTATAAAGTTTTCGATTCCACGGATATGCAGACAACAAATTATACGTACCTAAACAAACCATATCATGTCGTAATTTCTTTTTTTTAGATTATGGGATCCCGCCGTAAACGTTTTTAAAAAAGTCCCAGGATGGTTTAAATTAGGGTAAAGTTGTCTGTTAGTGAGCTCATTGATGATCCGTTTAGTTAATGAACTTATCTTTGTCATTTTCGGAAATATGGTGGAAAAACTGATATTTACATATTTACAGCTTTCGTGTTTATTTTTTACGATTTTATTGAAAATGATAAAAAATGAAATAAAAAATCCAGGTCTCTACTTAAGAAATAAAGTTGATGATGCCCAAGAAAAATTTTATTTGTGATTTTAGTTATATACATATCTCCGAAAATTGGAACGATAAGTTCATTTACTAAACGGATTATCATTGGGCTCACTAACAACCAACTTCATCCCAATTTAAGCCACCCTGTATCTCTGACCGTTTCCGAGATCTCAGTGGTAAGAGCTCAATTTGCGAAACACGCTGTATAAAAACTAGAGACTTAAAGACAAGTGAATCCACGGAGCTTTTTGGAACAATAAGCCACCTTGTGTTGACATCACTGTATTTAATGGGTATGTGTACAAATATTGTATGATCGAAAAAAAAAACCGGCGTCATGATGGCTATGAAATAAAGATCGCTGTCTTTTTATATGTAAATTCATATGGGAAATGTCATGGATCGTCATTTCCCAGGGAACTGGACGCCGTTTTTTAGGTCATACGGTATTTGAACAAATATTACATAGTAAAATATACAGGGTGGTCCGAATTGTATTCGGGAAACTTCAGCGGCATATTCTGCAGGTGCATATTCTGCAGCGGCATATTCTGAGAGTGGTCCGAATTGTATTCGGGAAACTTAGGCAGCATATTCTGCAGATAAAAATAAATAAAAAAGTGCGTATAAATTTATATTCTAAAATGCTTAGTTTCGGAGATACAGGGTGTGGAAGTTTTATTTTTATTGTGATTTTTTTTAAATAATTTCCGAACTAACATCGATATTTGGATGAAAATTGGGTACTGTTTTTGTGGCTGTTTTTTATATGATAAATTTGATTTTAATTTCAATATGATTCCTATTTGAAGAGGGCGTCACCAACACGTTTTTGAACTGTTTTGTTTTAAGAGTAATAACTTTTTGCTCGTACCTGTATTAAATTGCTGAGAGAAAAGATATACAGCGTGGTCCGAACTGTATTCCGAAAACTTCGGCGGCATATCCTGCAGATAAAAATAATTAAAAAAGTTCGTATAAATGTATGTTCTAAAATGCTTAGTTTCGAAGATACAAGGTGTAGAAGTTTCATTTTTATTTCGATTTTTTCTAGATAATTTCTGAAGTAAAGTGATGATGAAAATTGGTGTCTAGGAGTTTTTTGACATGAGAAAATTGATTTTGATGTCAATATGATACCTACTGGTAAAGGGCGCCACTTACATGTGTTTTAACTGTTTTGAAGCGTAATAACTTTTTGTCCGTACCTATATAAAACTACCGAGGGAAAAAATATATCTCTGTGACATTTTACGTAAAAAATATCTCTTTGTAAAAATCTCTGCAACTGTTCTCAAGATACTTATTTAGAATGGAAATAGTCAATACATGTCATTATTGACGGAAAAATTAAACACGTTGAGTAGATAGTTCTTTCACTGAAGTAATAAATTTGGGAAATTTTTATTTTTTTAAATTAATCATAAATTTTTCTGCAAAAAAATTATGATAAAACAGTTTCTGTTGAACTTTTGACACAAAAACTTTCAAATTTATGATCTCAGTCTAATAACTATTTAGTCAACGTGTTTAATATATAATATTATGTCAATGATGACAGGTATTGGTAATTTCGGTTCCAAATATCTCGAAAACCAATACTCGCAGCGATTTTTACCAAGAGACATTTTTTATGTAAAAAACGTCGTAAATGTATATTTTTTTACTCAGTAGTTTTATACAGGTACGGACGAAAAGTTATTACTCTTCAAACCAGTTAAAAAATATGTAGGTGGCGCTCTCTACAAGTAGGAGTCATATTGACATCAAAATCAAATTTCTCATGTCAAAAAACTCCCAGACGCCAATTTTCATCCAAATATTGATGTTACTGCAGAAATTATTTGGAAAAAATCGAAATAAAAATGAAACTTCTACACCCTGTATCTCTGAAATTAAGCATTTTAGGACATAATTTATGCAAAATTTTTAACTTATTTTTATCTACAGAATATGTTGCCGAAGTTTCCCGAATATAGTTCGTTACCACCCTGTATATTTTCATATTTTTTTACGTAAAAATGTTCTCTTGATAAAAAGCGCTACGAGTAATGGTTCTCAAGATACCTAGTATTTGAAATCGAAATAATCAATACGTCATTATCGAAAAAAATAAGTATTTTTACTCGATAGTTACTTGACTGAAATGATAAATTTGGGAACTTTTTTTTAATTGATCATAAACTTTTCTAGAAAAAATTATGATAAAGCACAAAAAAATCCAGATTTATTATTTCAATGTATTAACTATCGAGTAAACATGTTTAATTCTAGTCAATAGGGTCATGTATTGATTATTTCTATTCTAAATATCTTGAGAACCATTACTCGCAAAGCTTTTAATCAAGAGGACTTTTTTTTATCTAAAATACAGTAGAAATGCATATTTTTTCACTCAGTAGTAATACAACTACGCACGAAAAATTGTTACTCTTTCAGAAACGTGTAGGTGGTTCCGCTTACAATTAAAAATCATATTGACATCGACATCAAATTTCTCATGTCAAAAAACACCCAGACGCCAATTTTCATCTATGTTTTTATTCAAAACCGACATTAGATCAGAAATTATTTGGAAAAAATCAAAATAAAAATGAAACTTCTACACCCTGTATGCCCGAAACGAATCATTTTAGGGCATACATTTATAGAAACTTTTTGATTTATTTTTATCTGCAGAATATATGCTGCCGAAGTTTCACAAATACAGTTTGTACCACCCTGTAGATATGTGTATGGAAAAAATAAATCGTTTCGTGAAGACATAATAGTAGATAATATAATATAATTTAAAAAAAATAAATAAAAACTCATTTTAAAATACAGAAAAATCACTCACCCTCTTGAGATGCAACTCTTCTCTATCGGCAAGGTCTCACCTACGACGTCTTCAAGGACAAGATGCAATAGCGGCGGGGCTTCTTACGGTCACCAGAACGCGGAAAGCACTTCTTCGGCGGCGGCCTTCGATCGGCTATCGTTATATACCTTCCACCTCTTCGCGGAGCGTCTTCATGTGATAGCTTGGCGGCCGTGTCAAGTTCAAGAATACACACTTCGGATATGCCGGTATCGTTTGACGAGAAAGATCGGCAAATGTCACCGGTTTGAATAAAAAACGATAATTTCTTGAGATGTTTTGCGTCACTGAAGACACCAAACTGGGTTAAAATCGACCACCTGGTGAGGTTATACTAGGAAAACAATGTGGGATATAGAGGCACAAGATAATATTAAACTTATAATCAGGAAGCTGCTACACTAACAGATGAAAACTCATCTAAAAAACTAAAATAGTATAGTAATATTATTTTTAGTTTTTTGATGAGGATCATTTCAAGTGAGTTTGGTACTGACAGCCAAGCACAGTCTTAAAAAAGAAATCATTAGGAGCAAGAAAAGGAATTGGCTAGAGCTCTGTGACGAGCTTGAGTCCGATATTTGGGGCAAGGCTTACCGACTGGTAATGAGAAAGTTTATCGGCCGACGCAACGCTCCCGTTACAGATAACATAATAGAAAAACAGATCGCAACATTGTTCCCTAAAGCTCAGTCAAATAGTTGGGATATACCAAAAAAATACCGGATGATGTAATATGGTTTACTGAAGAAGAGGTGCCTTCTGCAGCAAGTAAACTGAAAAACAAAAAAGCTCCTGGCCCGGACTACATACCGGTGGAAGTTATCAAAATTGCTGCTATGCAAGACCCTCAGAGAATCACTGAGATCCTGAACAAGTGTCTTATCAACAGACAGTTTTCAAATTCGTGGAAAATTGCCAAACTTGTTCTAGCAGAGAAACCCAATAAAGATGGAAGTCAAGACAAAAAATATCGTCCAATATGTTTAATTAATGCAAGCGCCAAACTGTTAAAATGTCTTCTGAGGGATAGACTGGAGAAAGAACTGGAGGATGGAAACAGACTACACCCAAACCAATACGGGTTCCGCAGAGACAAATCTACGATAGACGCGTTAAACATTGTTACGAGTAACGTAGACCGTATTAAAACGAAATCGTATAGAACAGGGGATACGCGGCACTGCTTACATTAGACATTAAAAACGCATTCAATTCTGCCCCATGGACAGGAATTGTTGAACAATTAGGGAGCATGAAGATTAGTAAATACCTCATCGTTATGATTAAGTCTTTCTTGTCAAAAAGATATGTAATTGCAGAAAACGGCAAAAAACACAAGATGACGTGCGGGGTACCGCAGGGGTCCATTCTTGGACCGACCTTGTGGAACATCTTCTATGACCAGATCCTGAGGGTCGATATTGGACCAGGTAATCTACTGATTGCTTATGCGGATGATCTGGCTGTCCTGATCACCGCTCCGACTATCACTATCTTCGAAGAAAAGATACAAACAGCTGCCCTAACTATAACCAATAAGTTGGATAGAATGGACATACATCTGGCACCAGAAAAATCAGTCAACTAGTCGTTCTGGTAGGACATCGCAAGACGACGAACTTAAATATCCAATTGGGAAATTGCCACATCAGACCTCAAAAGGCAATAAAATATATGGGCGTTTGGCTTGATTCGGGGATGCGCATGACTACACATGTCCTTAAAATCAGGGACAGGACGGTTGATACCATCAAACAGCTGACCAGAATCACTCCCAATATTAGAGGCCCCAGTGACGGAAAGAGGAGAATGCTTGCCTCGGTTGTGCATTCGATGATCCTGTACGCCTCGCCCATTTGGAGCAGGGCAACAGACTATAAATACTATGAAAAAGTCCTCGAGAAAATTAACAGAGTGCTAGCCCTACGCGTAGTGTCGGCGTATCGTACAGTTTCCACAGAAGCTGTTCTCGCTCTAGCAAAAATCCCCCCAATTATCCTACAAATCGAGGAAAGAAATTTAATATACAGGCACGGCTCAGGGTATCGATCAGAGGTCAGAAAGATAATACTGGACAAATGGCAGAACAGATGGGAGGCATACCAGGGTCGAATTAAGATATTTATCCCGGACGTGAGGGTTTGGATAAACAACACGTGGACGAAAACGGACTACTACATCACCCAGGCGATGACAGGGCACGGTGCTTTTGGAGAGTACCTGTTTAGAATAACTAAGGCGGAATCCACAAAATGCTGGTATTGTGAAGCATCAGACACGGCCAATCACACATTATTCGAGTGTAGTAGGCATTTGGAGACTAGAGCATCGGCGGAACAAATATGCAAGGTTAAAATAACAAGGGAAAATGTCGGCGAGCTTATGATGGAAAATAGAGAGAACCAGGGGCGGATCGTGAATTTGTGGGACCCTGGGCTGAAACTAATGTTAGGGGCCTACCTAAGTACTCAACTAATAGCCATGTCAAAAAACTGTTTCTATAATGATATATTATTATTATAATATATTCTTTATTGCAAAAAAAAAACATAAATGTTACTTAAATCTATGCAAGTATTATTAGTACAAAAGGTGACCTTATTGCTGTGGTAGCAATCTCTTCCAGGCAACCTTTGGGTGAGGGAGAAACCGAAATAGTGAGTGATATAAGAATATAAAAAAACAATGAAATAATTTTATTTATTTATTATGAATTTGTATAAGAAATTGATAGGTTGCAGTCACAGAAATTGACAGGTATTTGGTCATCACACTGCAAGTCTTTTGTTAGATCACAATTTATGGAAAGAAATGGTTGGAATTAGAAATCGATGGTTCGACATTGTTGTCCCACATTTATTTTCTACATAGGACATCTTGGAGAAGGAACGTTCTGCTTCACAGCTTGTGATTGGCAATGTTAAAAAAATCTTTAAAATTGTATAGCAGTTAGGGAACACAAGTTTATTTTCATACATGAGCATAAAAATGTCACTGCAAGAGGTGTAAGACTCTGGCTTAGATTGGAGTACGATTTTAATTGAATGCACTCATTCACTAAATAATACTCGTCTACGTCATCGGGATAATAATCAATAATAATATGACGTGCAATTTCCCAATCTATGTTTTCGATATTTTTGTCTTGCAAATCCATTAAAAATTTGAATATTTTGCTATATGTCTCATAGACTTTGCTCCTTTTATTTAAATCCATAATCAGCTTATCCAACGCAACGTTTAACGTGTCTCTTTTAAATCTTTCTGCGCCGTATACTGAGAATTCACAGTGAACAAAAAAATTCACAGAATTCATTATCTGAAAATTTTGGAGTAATGCGTCTCTTGTTTATGTCATTGTAGTCTATTCCCACACTAGTACTTAATTTTTTAGCTTTCTCTTCGTATTCCTTTAGCTTTTGATCTGATTGGTGTCGTATGTTGTTCACAAAGTCTTTTAATGACACAATTAAGTTGTTGCCTTCACAAATGTCCAAACCAGGCGTATTTTTTTATTAACTAAATGAAATCTCTCCAAAACTTCTTCCCAAAAGATAATCAAAATTGCAGTCTCGAGTTTCGCCATTTTAATGAATAAATTTCGTGTCTCTTTCCGGAAATCAACTTTCTCAACCTCATTTTCGCTGAAACTTTCGAAAATTTTCATAATGTCATCATAATTATTTTTTAACGCTTTGACAGCATCATAGTGGCAAGACCATCTGGTCTGGCTTAAACTTTTTAACGTGAATTTTAATTTTATTTCACGATTCAACAGTTCCCACCTATTGGTCTATTGTTTTTAGCGGGGTCTAGGGGCCCCTTGTAACCTCGGGGCCCTGGGCTGCAGCCCAAACAGCCCTTAGGTAGATCCGGCCCTGGAGAGAACTGTGAAGCAATCACCAGGATGATGAGAGCAATCATGCTTAAAAAACAGGAAGATGAAAAGATAAAAATTTGGCAGACACAGACATAAGTGGCGAAACAATCTCCAGTCTTTAAGTAATGCCGCAAGGCGGTTCCGAGATTGGAGAGGTAACTCTACAGATGGGTTTTTAGTGGGTATGACTCGGGTGAGAGGTGACCCCCGCACTCTGGCTGTAAATGGCGTTTTCCATCTATAAAAAAAATGGTACTGACAGCCCTCAGCGGCGAAGCCTCATAAACGATTACTTCTTCGACTTGATTTTGTTTGTCATCAGGTATACTTTGGCGTCGAATTAACTCTTGGACTCCACTTGGTAATGCAGGTTGAGTATGAATGATAGGTCGCAATTCGTTTTCGTCTAAATGCCATCCGAAGTCAGTAGAAGATAAGCGTTTTGTTAGGCGTACATTCTTTTATTCATAAGCTTGTTTGTCACTCTGAGGCAGTGCTGCCTAGTTCTTGCCTGGTAGCAGCCGGGCAGAATCATATTGTTGTAACTGCCGCCATTTACGTGCTCTAGCCTCACCCACTGTTTTGCTTACCGGATCGTTATAAATAATTCTAATGGTTAGTAGTTCTAGTTGAAGAAACAACTCCTTAAATTTTTCATGACCTCCAAAACTAAGAACATGAGTTGAACAATGTAGTAACATCATGCTGCAGCTAAGCAAATCCTCGACCCTTTGACTAGTAGACAAAATCCCATAATAACACTGGTAGATATAATCCTTATATAATGCAATATCAATGGTGAGCTTACCATTATTTACAGCTGATGGATTACAAACCGATTAAACCAAAATTTACGTCATTATTAAGTTCTCAACCTGCATCATCAACGACAGACTATCATAGATGTCGGAATGGCTTTGCATAAGGTTGCACCATGCAGGCAAGGGTGCAACCTTATGCAAAGGCAAAAAAATCAAAAGTTACCATGCAAAAAATAAATATCAGAAATAAAAAAGGTCTCCCAAAAGAAAGTGAAACTTTATGTCTCGATCGGACTATTAGTTTGTGCAGTTCAAAAAATTGGTTAGAAAAAAAATCTCTCTCGTCTTCATTGTTAACTGAGTGTTACCACGGTTTTAGATAGCTGTGGCAATTATTGGTTAATATTTAACATCACAATTTGTTTATCAATTGTGTATTTAATTGTTGTGAGTTTTTTA